GGGCTCTGCACCCCATGGGAGACCAGGAGAGGCACCTGGCTCCTGCCTTCGGATCAGCGGGCCGCAGCGGCCATTGGAGGGTGAACCAACGGCAAAAGGAAGACCTTTCTCTCTCTCTCTCTCACTGTCCACTCTGCAAAAAAAAAAAAAAAAAAAAAAAAAAAAAAAAAAAAAAATAGCAGATAAAGCCACCACCTGTGACCTCAAGATCCTCAAAGGGCCGTCAACTATACTATTGGGAGGCATGGTGGCGGTGTCTACTGGCCGAGGGCTCCAGTGCCAACCATCTGCACGCCCTTACGTGGTGCTCTGGGAAGCGTCATGGCGTCAGGTGCACCGTGCGACTGAGTTCCAACCACGCTAGCTTTATCACAACGACCTAAAGGCCGTCGCGGGGAACCTCCTGTGACCGAACTGGGTGTTTCTGGGCGGTGACGGTTCTGTTGCTAACACTGCAGACCTCCCGCTTCCTGTGATACTGCAGGGCACTGGCCCGGTGGTGCCCTGACGGTGACCGCGGTCCCGCAGGGCGCAGGCCGGCGCCCGGTGGTGCCCTGACGGTGACCGCGGTGCCCCAGGGCGCAGGCGGGGGCCCGGTGGTGCCCTGAAGGCGGCCGCGATGCCCCAGGGCGCAGGCCGGCGCCCGGTGGTGCCCTGAGGGCGGCCGCGGTGCCCCAGGGCGCAGGCCGGGCCGGAGGCTCCTTCCGCCAGCCAGCACTGCCGGCCGGGCCGCATCACCACCCTGGGCACCACTGTCCCCTGCGTCGGCCACAGCCTCTGCAAGGCCCCCTGCTCTCCCGGCCTGCCTCCCGCCTACGGCTCCGTCCGACGCCCCCAGAGACCCTCTACCTCCTCGGGCCCCCGGCGCCGAGCGTCCCAGGCTGGGTCCGGGGAGGGAGGACCAGCGGGTCCTCCTGCACCCCTTTTCCCGGGCGGCTCCGCACGGACCCCGGAGTCACCCGCGCTCCTCCCCGCAGCAGGAAGCGGTGTCCCTCCCGCAGTCACTCCTGGCTCCCAGGACAGCGGGCTCCCACGAACCGCCTCGTGCTGCCGGGCGGCGCGACACCCGCTCTGGGCGAGTCGCTCCCGTAGGTCCCGACCCTGTCTTCCCGCAGCCGAGGAGGGGCTTCCAGTTCGCCCAGGCAGCTTTGAGCCCCGGGGTCTGGGGTCCCCGCGAGGCACCAGTGCGGAGGCAGGGCGCGCTCCCGCGGGGAGCCGGTGAACACGCGCCCGAGGACTCCCGGCACCGAGGGCTGTCACTCGCGCGGTTCGGGTCTCCCGGGAGGGACCCGAGGCGCCTGCGCCCCCCAGCCGCGCTCCCGCCGCTGTGAAACGCGGGGGGCGGGGCGGAGCCGCTGGGCGTGGCACTGGGCGGGGCGGGGCTGCCTGGGAGAGTGGGCGGGGCGTGGTTGCCGCGGGGTCGGGGCGTGGCGAGGCGTGATGCCTTGGGGGAGCGCTGGCTGGAAACCTGGGTGACTGATACTGCTGGAGCACCCACAAAGTTCAAGTTCTGCTTAAAATAGGTTTTCTTTCCACGGCAGAAGAGCAGCTGGCACTTTGTGAATTCTTGAGTCACCAGCAGACGTACCTTCAGGCTGCACTCAGCTGTTAATTTCTATTAACTTCTTCACAGCAGAAGAGGGGAGTGACGCAGAGTTAATTGGTGTGTGCGCCTGCTGGGTCTGGGGAGACGTGGCCAGTCCCTTTTACAGTTCCTTAGTCTATTTTTATTTGGGCGTCAGAAGAAGAAATGACGTGGACAGAAACCCCTTGCCTGCTGCTGAAGTGTCCGTCATTCCTTCTCCCTTCCACCTCCCGGGCTCAGGGACCCTCCCGTCCCCGAAATCACACTCCAGGCCAGAGGCCGCTGGGCGCTGCCACCAAGCCCAAGGCTTCAGGGCCGACAGCAGAGAGCTCTGTGCTCAGAGACCCAGGTCCTCCACGGTTCTACAGAGTTGTCCCCAGCCCCGGTGCCCATGCAGAAACTCCTACACAAAGCCAAGCTGTCAGTGTCCCTGATGGGTGAATGGACAAACACGTGTGAGGCTGCATACAGTAGAATCTGATTCACCCTTAGCAGGGAATGCGGTTCTGCGATTGCCTGGCGGTACAGTGGGTTAAGTCAGCATGTGGGACGCCCACATCCCAAATCAGCGAGCCAGGCTGCTCTGCCTCCTGTCCAGCGCCTGGGGAAGCAGCAGGTGATGACCCTGTTACCGGAGAATGGCAGGGTTCTTGTCTTCGCGCAAGAAAGAATTCAGGCGTGAGACAGAGTAGTGGGAGGTAAAATAGCAAGGTTTATTAGGGAAGGGACATCCGTAAGGACGGATGGGCACCTCTCCAGACAGAACCTGAAGAACCTGAGTGTGCCCAGTCGCTCTGACTGGCGGGGTGGGGGGGGCGGTGAGGTTACATGTTGAGAGGAGAGATCACACCTGACCAGGCCAGGCAGGCAGCTCAGCAGAGAGGCAGAGGGCTGAACGCACAGGCGGGGAGGCCGGGGGTTTTTAAGGAGATGGGTCTCTGTCTTCACACGTCTCCTCCTGAAACAAAGGGTTTTATGGCTGTAAATACTAAGAAGCTCCTAACTGAGTTTTCCCCTGAAGGTATCAGACAGGGGGAAGTCTAGCTGGTGCCGTCCTGGGTTCAGAGGAAGGGTGAGCAGGGCCCCCTAGAGAATGGGGATCTGGAGCAGGGTGTTTGAAATGCAGATACTGGGTTGCATCTGGGAGATTGTGGAAGATTTGTCAGGCAGAAGGGGTGGGGACCCCCACCTGGCAGGTTATCAGGTAGGAGGGGGCAGGATGTGACCACTGGGCTGCCCCTGGAACACTGTCAGGATGACTTTGAGGTGCAGATGCATATGCTGGACATAGACGTCTTCTCTTCAGGCCTTTATGTCACACACACATAAGCTCATATCTAACTTCCTACCTAACAGCCCCACCACCCACATGGGAGATCCACATGGAGTCTCTGGCTCCTGGCTTGAGTGTGGCCTAGCCCTGGCTGTTGTGGGCATTTGGGGAATGAACCAGCAAGATGGAAATTCACACACACACACATTCACACACACACACCCGCCTTCCCCACATCTGACTTCTTCCATCTCATCTAGGGCTCTGACAGTCTGTTCTGATGGAGTTTGGTCATTCCAGAAAAATTGGCACAACAGAAATCTCCTCTCAAGAAAATGTTACGGGGCCGGCACCGTGACACAGTAGGTTAATCCTCTGCCCGCAGCACCAGCATCCCATATGGGCACCAGTTCTAGTCCCGGCTACTCCACTTCCGGTCCAGCTCTCTGCAATGGCCTGTCAAGTGCTTGGGCCCCTGCACCCATGTGGGAGTCCCGGAAGAAGCAGCTGGCTCCTGGCTTCGGATCAGCGCAGCTCCGGCCATTGTGGCCATTTGGGGAGTGAAACAACAGAGGAAGGACCTTTCTCTCTCTTCCTCTCACTGTCTGTAACTCTGCCTCTCAAATAAATAAATAAAATCTTAAAGAAAATATTACAAGGCTCTCACAGCTTTTGTCGACAGAAAAATTTAAAACGGATTTAGCAGACATGGTTGCTGTGGCACACAGGCAGCAGGTGGACAGCCAGCACCAGCCTCCCTCTGCCCGGGGGGCAGGGAAGAGTGTTAGGTTTTGCAGGGTGGGTAGGGCGGCCCCCCACGGACCCATCCTCATCTCTCTGGTGGGAAAGCGGATGTCCCCCACCTTCTCTGGGAGTGAGGCTCAGCTACCCTGGCAGTCTCAGTCACATGCCTGTCACTTTGGGCTGTTTGGGGCATGTCTGCATGTTGGGGACATCCCCAAGAGCACAGCAGGGGGTCTTTGGGGTTGGAGACGAACACCTGTCGGGCCGGAGGGGCTTATTTAGTGAGTCCTGCTCCCACCCGGTCTCGGACTTCAGGGACCAGGAATGTGTGGCAGCACAAGCCCAGAAGCCCCAGGCCGAGGCTGAAATTTCACACAAAGGAAATCATTCCTCTTCCTCCTGTGGCCCAAAGGGATTCTCTCGGGAAAAACCTCTCCTGAGCTTTAGGGTTAAGGGGGCTATTTACTGCGACTCAGTCGAGGAGGAAGTGCTGGGCTTGGCACAGCAGGGAGAGGTGTTTTCCCTGCACAGCAGCTGTGCCCCTGAGAGGTGAGCTTTCCTGGCATTTCTGCAGCGTCCTCATGTCTCTCACGGAGGAAACCCGTGCGTATGAGAAGCAGCCTCCAAAGGCGGGGGTGCCAAGAAACCAAAGCGGAGGGCAAAGCCAAGGTTACAGAGTGAGGACTGAGGGAGAGGACTGTGATCTCAGGTGACCATGAGACAACGGAGCCTCACACCTCCAGCCAGCAGGAGGGGCTTCTTGTGTTAAGGGAGAAAAAGACAGCCCATGGACTTTCTCAAGAAATGTTAAGATTCCAGGCACTACACGAGGGACGGTCCAGCCGGCCAGAGATGAACTTGTTTATCCTGTAAGGTTTGCGATGAGCACCAGGGTTACCTAAAGGAAGAGGTGCAGGTTACGTTATGGTCACGTCACACGGAGTCCCTCCCCTCGCGGGAGCTGATGCCTGCACAGGAGCTGGGGCCACTCATCCCCAGAACCTGTTCCTTTGCCTCTGAGTCCAGGGACGTGGACGTGTTACTTTGCGAAAGGCAGGCTGCGGGCTATTCCTGCATTCACATGCACCCAGATCCACACTTGTGACACCCTGATGACCAAGGACAATCAGAATTGTGTCCAAGTAACAAAGACCAGCTCGGATCTGACCGTGGCCAAAGCGCATTCATCCCGTCTACAGCATGCTCTGCCTGGCTCTAGGAAGCTTCTCATTCAGAGATGGCCTGGCACAGCAGCGAAGATGCTGCTCGGGAGGCCACCATCCCGTGCCAGAGTACCAGGGTTCGAGCCCTAGCTGTACTTCTGATTCCAGTGTTCCACTAACGTGCACGCTGGGCGCGCGTCAGGCCCAGAATGCAAAGACCAGTCTCTGGACAGGGTGACGGGCAGAAGGAGCAGTCAAGGAACCAGGCAGGAGGTTGTGCATGGTGGTGGGTAGGCAGCCAGCTCCTGTAGGTCAAGAGAACCTTGGAAGATGCTGTTTCCAACTTGCCTTTTTTTTGGACAGTGAGAGAGAGAGAGACAGAGAGAAAGGTCTTCCTTTTCCGTTGGTTCACCCCACAATGGCCGCTGTGGCTGGTACTCTGTGGCCGGTGCACCGTGCTGATCAGAAGCCAGGAGCCAGGTGCTTCTCCTGGTCTCCCATGCGGGTACAGGGCCCAAGGACTTGGACCATCCTCCACTGCACTCCCAGGCCACAGCAGAGAGCTGGACAGGAAGAGGAGCAACCAGGACAGAATCCGGCGCCCCAACTGGGGACTAGAACCTGGGGTGCCGGCGCCGCAGGCAGAGGATTAGCCTAGTGAGCCATGGCGCCAGCTTCAATTTGCCTTTCTGAGCACTATGTTGGGAGATGTATCCGTTGCCTGGGAATTTAAGCTTCCTGGATATAATTCCATTGTCAAATTGTTTGAAATGTCATTCTTCCATAAATAGAAGGTCTGGTTTCATTCCACTCATTAATGAAGGGACCAGAAAGACAAAAGACATCTTGAAAAGCATTTGAAAACCCCCAAGTAAGGAGGCTGGCATTGTGGCCTAATGGATAAAGCTGCTGCCTGCAATGCCGGCATCCCATACGGGCACTAGTTCAAGTCCCAGCTGCTCCACTTCCCATTCAGCTCCCTGCTAATGACCTGGGTAAGCAGCTGAGGATGGCCCAAATCCTTGGGCCCCTGCACCCATGTGAGAGGCCTGGATGAAGCTCCTGGCTCCTGGCTTTAGCCTGGCCCAGACCCAGCTATTGAAGCCATTTCGGAGTGAACCAGCAGATAGAAGACCTCTCTCTCTTTCTCTGTCTCTCGCTCTTTCTCTGACTTTCAAATAAATAAATAAATCTTTTTTTAAAAGAAAAGGAGAAGAAAACCACCAAAAAATGCACTCCAAAGGACCAGAACCACCAACCAGTTCTGCTAGTTAGACCCAAGCTATGACTGGGCAGGAACATTGAGCCTGGCAGAGAAACAGGATCACAGGTTCACCATTGTCCACGAGTTAATCTCAAACCTTTGAGGTTACACAAAGTCAGTGTGGCAGCTAAATCAAAGTTTCTTCCCAGGAGGCAACACCGTGGTGCAGCCGGTGGAATGGCCACTTGTACACGACATCAGCACCCTGCGTCAGAGTCCCAGCTGCTCTGCTTCCAATCCAGCTCCCTGCTAATGCACCCGGGAGACGGCAGCTAATGACACGAAACCCAGACGGAGTGCCTGGCTCAGCCCTGGCCGTGTGGCCATTTGGAGAGTGACCCGGCAGATGGAAGATCTCTCTTCTCTCTCTCTCTCTGCCTTTCAAGTACATAAATAAACCTTAAGCCAGGTGCCCTGGTGTGTTGTCTTAGTGAGACGCCATGCTGAGGAGCAGCCCACGCAGGTCAGGAGGGCTTTGCAGTAGAGGGGTTGGTATTTGGTTCTGAGGCTCCGCTGACTTCACGAGAAGAGCCACGTGTGTGTGAAGCAGAGGAACTGGTTGTGCAAACACAGAGCTGAAGGGTCCCACAGTGTCTGGAAACGTACTCTCTGGTGTCCTCAGCAAAGTGTCTGCAAAGAGCCGAACCAGTGCTTGCGTAGATGCCAAGAGCACAAGGATAGAGGTCAGTTCTTCAGGGAAGAGACAAATGGCAGCACAGGCAGAAGTGAGAGGGGGTCAGCTGAGGGTTAGGTGAGAGTCAGGTGAAGGTGAGGTGAGGGTGACAGTGACCAGCTGTGACTGAGGGTGAGGTGAGGGTGAGTGTGAGGTGAGGGTGAGTGTGAGGTGGGGTGAGTACAAGGTAAGTTTAAGATGAGGGTGAGTGTTAGGTAAGCAAGTATGAGGTGAGGATGAGGTAAGAGTGAGTGTGAGGTGAGGGTGAGGTGAAGATGAGGTTGAGTGTGAGGTGAGTACAAGGTGAGTGAGCTGAGGTTGGGAGGTGAAAGAGAGGTAAAGGTGAGGTAAAGATGAGGGTGAGGGTGTGAGGTGAGGATGAAGTTGAGAGGTGAGTGTGAGGTGAGGTGAGGTGAGGTGAGGGTGAGGTGAGTGTGAGGTAAGGGTGAGGTGAGGATGAGTGTGAGGTGAAGTGAGGTGAGGTGAGGTGAGGGTGAGGTGAGGTGAGGGTGAGGTGAGGATGAGGGTAAGGTGAGTGTGAGGGTGAGGTAAGGGTGAGGTGAGGGTGAGGTAAGGGTGAGGTAAGGGTGAGGTGAGGATGAGTGTGAGGTGAGGTGAAGTGAAGTGAGGTGAGGTGAAGGTGAGGTAAGGGTGAGGTGAAGTGAGGTGAGGATGATGTGAGGGTGAGGTGAGGATGACGTGAGGGTGAGGTGAGGTGAGGTGGAGGTAAGGTAAGGTGAAGTGAGGGTGAGTATGAGGTGAAGGTGAGGTGAAGATGAAGTGAGGTGAGGGTGAGGTGAGTGTGAGGGTGAGGTGAGGTGAAGGTGAGATGAGGTGAAGTGAGGTGAGGTGAGGTGAGGGTGAGTATGAGGTGAAGGTGAGGTGAAGGTGAGGTGAAGGTGAGGTGAGGTGAAGGTGAGGTGAGGTGAGGTGAGGGTGAAGTGAGGATGAGTGTGAGGTGAAGGTGAGGTGAGTGTGAGGGTGAGTTGAGGTGAGGGTGGGGTGAGGGGGAAGATAAAGGGAGGGGGAGGGGGAGATGAAATCGAGTGTGTGGTGAGTGAATGTTTGTCTTGAGTTTTTCACTATTGCAACATGATTACTTTTAGCATGAACAATGCCTGTTTTAATGTAGGAGGAAGTTTGAACAGAATTGGAGCAGCACACAGTGGTTCCATGCGGGCTGCCCGAGGCCATCGTGGACTGGTGACAGCCTTGGTTAAGGGCTGGCTGTTCTCCATTTGAACAACAACCAGGAGGAGAACGTCCCTTGGATTTTGGAAACGAAGACCGTGGCTTCTCCGCTGCTTCTCTTCAGAGCACTGGAGGCCTGCTCACGTCTGAACAATGGGCAGGTGACGAGGAACATGAATGGCAGCTAGGGGCCCATGGTGGGCTGACCCTCTGGCCTCCAAAGCATGCACATGGCTTCTGCTAGCTGGGCCCTGGTCTCCTGCAGTAGCCCCAGGATGCAAGCAGGAAATTGAGGGGCAGAGTTCAGCCTGGCCACAGGGAGCACTCCTCCAGTGAGCAGAGGTGGATGGACTGGAAGCCTGGCCTTGAGGCGGGCAGAAGCCAGGTCAGTGGTGTTCCTGCCTGCACTTTGCACATCTACCGCAATCAGAGAGGGGGCAGGCGTTGTCCCAGCACAGGACCTTCCCCACGCTGGTGGGGGCCCATGCCTGGGGCTTCTGCTGGTGGGAACCCTTTGGCTTGTGAACTAAGTATCTGATGAGAGCGCCTTCCTCACCACTTACTGTTGCAGTTCGGGCCCTGTGGGTGTGTCCTCTTCTGTAATCTTGTGTTCTGCTCCCCGGAGGCAACCAGCTGTAAACAAAAAATATTCAAACAAGATTGTTCGAAACATGTACAGACTTTCTTCTTGTTGTTACTCCCTGAGCAATACAGTATAACAACTATTGACATGGTGCTTGTGTTGTATTAGGTATTGTAAGTAATCTAAGTGAACAGGAGGATGTATGTAGATTACATGCAAATACTGTGCCATCTTTGAGGGACTTCAGCACATCAGAGGATTCTGTATCCCCAGAGGCTCCTGGAAGGAATCCCCACAGACACGGGGAGTGACTGCATTTTGTCTGGGATTTCAGGTATCACTTGCCACTTTCTGACTGCTGGCACGGGGAGGACAGAAAAGCAGGCAGGTCTCGCCGGTCTTCCACAGCTGGGAACAACCCCTGCAGACCTCCAGGCTGTTGGGCCTAAACCCAGGAGGGGGGCTGAGAGCTTTGAGACCCTACCCTGAGGTGGGGCAGGCATTGCGGGTGGGGGCAGCAGGAGGTAAGCATACCTGCCTGGCTGGGTACCTGAGCAGTGACTCACAGCGACTGCGGCACTAGGGCTGAGGGTCCAGAGAAGAGGAACTCCTGGGGCTTTTGGGCTTGGGGGTGGGAGCCACCGCACCTGCCACACCCACCTTCCAGTGACCTTCCTTTCTGTCTGGTGGCATCACCACTGTCCCATCAGCAACTATCAACCAGCAGTAAGCGCTGTAAACTAACGTGGTGGGCTTAGGTACAAATAAACGCAAGTGATGAAGATAGAAATCTCGGCTTTCACGCTTTTGTAAGTCTCCCCCTCTCCCTGCAACAGTGGGATGACGATGCCTCAGAGCGCCCTGCCCCACCTGAGGTGGAGGTGAGGGAGTGGCGGAGGCAAGGCGGTCCTAAACGAAGAAGCAGCCCCCAGCCACGGGGCCAGCGCGCCCCCTGCCCGCTGCCAGGATCCCGATGGGGACCCCCAGAGTGGAAAGCGGGTCCCGGTGGCAGGGGCTCCTTGCTCCGGGAGGGGAAGAGAAGCCACGCCCCGAGGCTCGCAGGCCCCCACCCTGCCCTATTCCCCGCCACACGCACAGGTCCACGCACCCGCGCACTCATGACCACGCGCACAGCAGCCGCGCAGGCACACGCACGCGCAGACACCTGCAGAGCCGCACAGACGCGCACGAGCAGACGCGCGCACACGCTCACCCACGTACACGTGCACCCACGCACCGGCGTCGCTCTCGAGACAAGGGCGTCGCCTTGGAACCGGCGAATCCCTGGAGGTCCCTCTGGCAGGGAGGGGGCGGACCCCACGCCCGCGGCTGCGCCTCACCCGCTGCCGACCAGCACACGCGGGAGTGTAAACACCCGGCCCCGCCCCCTGCTCGCCCCTGCCCCGCTATTGGCTGCGGGATCCGAGTCCCCGCCCCCTACGCCCTCCGGCTCCGCCCCAGCCTGGCTCCGAGCCTCCATTGGTTGCGGCGGCGGGGCCCGCCCAGGAGAGGAGGGTGCGCGTCACTCCCGGAGGCGGTGACCGAGCGAGACAGACCAGCGGCGCAGCCGGTGAATGCGCGCAGTCGCCCTAGCAACTGCGGCCCGCCAATGGCGTGGCGGGGCGGGGCGCGGTGGGGCGGGACGGCCGCGCGCTGTCAGGCGCCCGGCGGCAGGCGGGAGGCGATCGCGGACGGGGCTCGGCGGCGCCTCTGGGCCCGGCCGCCGCCGCTGCGCGCAGCCCGCGAGCCGGGCATGGGCGGGGGCGCCAGGCCGGCACGATGAGCACCCTGGGGAGCCCAGTCCGGGCCTATGACTTCCTGCTCAAGTTCCTGCTGGTGGGCGACAGCGACGTGGGCAAGGGCGAGATCCTGGCCAGCCTGCAGGACGGCGCGGCCGAGTCCCCGTACGGCCACCCGGCCGGTGAGCGCTGGGCGCGGGGCCCGAGGCCAGGGGAGGCGTCGGGGCGGGCCTGGGGCGCGGGCGCGGGGTGGGGGTGGGGAGGGGTCTGGGAGGATCCCGGGACGTGGGTGGGAGCTGGGGTGGTCCGGGGGTGCGGGGCACCGGGAGGGCTCTGCAGGGTGTGGCGGAGGTCGCGGATTCAGCTCGGGGTCACCAGGGGCCGGGGCGCAGGGCCGGCTTCTGTCCGCCTGAGTCTGGCCCACAGTCCGTGGGTCCCTGGCTCCCCTCGGTCTTTCACTGGGAAGCCGGCGAAACGACCCCCTTGCTTCTCCCGTGGCTTGCGGAGGGCAGTGGCCAGGCAGGGGCTGGGGACTCCGGCCCCGGGTGGCTGTGGAGCCGAGGCGGCGCGGGGGCGCGCTGGGAAGGAGTCGGCGCCAAAGGAGCTAACCCGAGTCGGGGTGGGGTGGGGGACCCTTATGGACTGGCCGGGGCGGGGGAAGGGGTGCAGGGTGGCCCTAGCTGCAGGTTGGAGAGCCGGCTCCAGGGGTCAGAGGGTCGGGGGAACCAGGGCAGGGGGCGAGGTCGGAGCTGAGAACCCAGGGGAGGCCCAGCTGCTGCCCTCAGATGATGCCGGGAGGAAGCCAAGTGGACCAGGCTGGGTCCCGGGTACGGGGTCGGGCCCCTGCCCTCCAGGCTCATAGTCCAGCCCAGTGCATTCCTGCCCTGGCCGGGAAGGAAGGGCCCGGACAAGCACAGCCCACCTGAGGGGCAAAGGCCGAGGCCGGCTTGGGGCCATGGCCCAGGGCTGGCTTGGAGGATGCTCTGCCCTGGCTGCTGGCCGCTTTAGGCCCGGTCTGGGGTCTGACTCTGCCCATCACATGGGAGGAGTGAGTGAGGGGCGTCAGCTCAGGATGAGGCGTCGTGGTCGTCTGGGGACTGAAGCAGCGGATGCAGGATCTCTCTGTCGCTCTGCCCTTCAAATAAATAAACTTGACAACAAAAGCACTGATGTAGATGTGGCCCTTGGGAGACGGCAGTCACCAAATGTGTCTTCTGGTGTGTAGGAAAGGGTTTATGGGGCAGGTGTCTGGCACAGTGGTCACGATACCTCTCAGGCACCAGCATCCCATGCCAGAGGGCCTGGGTTCCAGTCTCAGCTCCCTGCGATGCATCCTGGGGGCACCCCCAGTGCCTGGGCCCCTGCCACCTGCTGGGAGACGTGGATGGAGTTCCCAGCTCACAAACGTAGCCTGGCCCAGCCTGGCTGTTGAGTGCATTTGAGGAGTGAATCAGATCATGGGAGCATTTCTCTCTCTCTCTCTCTCTCTCTCTCTCTCTCTCTCCCACACACACACACACACACACACGGCCTTATTATAAGATAATCATTTAAATAATGAGAGTTTATGGGAAACAGAGGCTGGGGCTGTTGTCTCGCTGTGGAACGGCATCGTGCTCTGGCACTCAGGTCTGTGCTGTGGCGCACCTGCCTGCTGTTAGTCTGTGTCTACCTGGAACCAGCTGCAGGCTCTGAGTTCCTTAGTTTACTGTCCAGAGCTTGCTAGCTAGATTTCTATACCAGCCACGCTCGCAGCAAGGATGTGTGAGTGTCTCTTGAGTGTCGCCGCGTCTGAAAACGATGACATCCTGGCTGGCTGTAGCATCCTCCTACCCTCAGCACTGGGTGCTGCCTGGCCTTGGAGGTGGCTGGGGTGAAGGCGGAGGTCGATTCCCCCGGGTGGGTGATTTGCCTTCTCTTCATTAATTTCCAAAGAAGCCTTTCTTTCTTTAAACTGTTTTTCACTGATGCATTTGTTTTAATTTATGCAGAAGGTAGACACACACACACACACACACACACTTCCATCTGCTGATTGGCTCTCCAAATGACCACAACAGCCAGGGCTGGGCCAGGTCTCCCCCGTGGGTGGCAGGGGTCCAGTTGCTGGTCCAGCTTCCACTGCCTTCCCAGGCTCATTTGCAGGAAACTGGATTGGAGGCAGAGCAGCAGGACGCTGATCCTGGCTCCAGCATTGAAGCAGTAGCTGTCCCCTCGTGGTCTGTGAGCGCAACCAGACCCCGTCTCAGAGCTGAATGTCTTGTGCTGAACTTCTGGTATACTGTGTCCTCTGGAACTTTCAAATAGATTTTTCTTTTCAGTATGAGAATTTACATTATGTCCTTAAAGTATCTCCTGTTGCATCCCCTGCTGTCCCTGCTTTAGGGAGAACAATTGTGTTTCTTCTTGCTTCTGTAACTAATTACCATGTATTCAGTGGCTTAAAATCACACGTGTTTAATATCTCGTTCTGAGGCCTCAGTCTCCCAGCAGTCTTGCTGGGCTACCCAGCGCTGCAGGGCTGCCTCCCTTCCTGGGGGCTCTGGCCTGGCTTGTCTGCCTGCCTCCCCAGATCCAGAATCCACCGGCGTGCTCGCGGTCTCTTCCTGCGTCTTCACAGCCAGCAGTGGCCAGTCAGGTCTGACCTGACTCTGCTGCCTCCCTCCCCTCATGTGTAAGGACCAAGACAGCGCAGGATTATCTGTGCCTAAGGCCAGCTGATTAGCAAATATAATTCCATTTGCAGCCTTTGCTCCTCCTTGCTGTGTGGCCCAACATCTTCACGAGCTCCGGCTGGTCACGGGCATCTTCCAAGGATCCATTGTTCTGCCTCCCACCCCATGCCGCGCAGGTTGGACCATCTTCATCTGTCCCTAGCCCATTCGCTCTCTCCAGTTGCCTCAGACTTTATGTCTTTCTCTGCAGAATTTCTGCCTTTTTTTTTTTCCAGTGAGTTCTTTCTAGGTATTTCTGATTTGTGCGTTCTGCGATGAAATGGCTTTGGTCACTTTTTTTTTTCTTATTTTTGAAACTTTCCCTTTTTTTGATTAAAAACTGTTTAAAAATTTGTTTCATTAAATTTTTTTCTTCTTTTGGAAATAAGTTTTCTGGCACAGCAGGTTAAGCCATCACTTAGGATGCCACCATCCCTTACCAGAGAGCCTGATGCAAGTTCTGGCTACTCTGCTACCAACCCAGCTTCCTGCTAACGCAATTGGAGGCAGCAGACGGCGGCTCCAGCACTTGGTTCCCTACCACCCACGTGGGAGACCCAGATGGACTTCCTGGCTCCCGGCTTTGACCTGGCCCAGCCTTGCCTTCTGTGGGCATTTGCAGAGTGAACCAGCATATAGAGAGATGCGCTCTCTCTCTATCTCTCTCTCCCTCTCCCTCTCTCTGTTGCTCTGCCTTTCAAATAAATAAATAAGTCCCAGTTTTTTCTTTGAACCTCAATTTTACAACCTAATGTCCTTGTTGATTTGTTCTGCTGTATGAAGTAATAGGACAGCCTTTCTTCTGTTGCTTGGGACATGTCTTCTTTTAGGTAGGGCTCCTCCTCTCTTTTCCCTTTTTAGGCTTTTTGTTGGTGTATGGTGTACATATAGAAGAGTGCACATTGTAGCTGCACAGCTTCATGGTTTCTGTGAGCCTCACACACCGGTGATTCCAGCACTCTGAGAATCACACACTCCTGGCCCTGACGCCCCTGCACCCATCTCGTCCTCCAGTCACCACCCCCTGGGGTGAGCAGCATCCTGACCCCTGACAGGATGCACCCGCTGCCCGCATTTATCCTGTGGAAAAGAACAGGGTGTGCTCTGTGGCGCTGCTTCCCTGGTGCCCAGCGGTGTCTGAGGGTCTCCCTGCTGCTGGGTGCACTGGCGTGTGGTTTGTTCTCGTGCTCTGTGGTATGTAGCGTGACTTATTTTTCCATCCTGCTGGTGATGCACATGTGGGTGGTTTCCAGTTTCTGACTGTTAGGGTTTGTTCTGCCTTGAACATTTGCAGTACGCCCCTTCTGTGTCTCTGTTGGAGTGGCCCTCAGCGTGCAGTTGCTTAGCCTGCATAGAGCTGGCTTTAGGGGATATTCCCAGATGCTTGCTGGCCGGCCCTAGAATCAGCAGAGCGGCGTGTTCCGGTTTACACACACACACACCCCAGCCAATGCACGATGCACTCTTCCTCTTGCTGGCGTTTTGGCCAGCGGTCTGGAGTGTGCAGTTTAAATCTGCATCTCTGTGATGACTTAGGAGGTTGGGCATCTTTTCATATGTTTATTTGGATTTCCTCTTTTGTAAATACCCAAGTCACTTGTCCATTTTGTCATTTAAGTTGCATTTTTAAATTTTTTTTAAAGACTTTATTTTTTATTTGAGAGGTAAAGTTACAGACAGTGAGAGGGAGAGACAGAGAGAAAGGTCTTCTGTCCACTGGTTCACTCATCAAATGGCCACAACAGCTGGAGCTGCACCAATCTGAAGCCAGGACCTGGAGCTTCTTCCCAATCTCCCACATGGGTGCAGGGGCCCAAGCACTTGGGCCATCTTCCACTGCTTTCCCAGGCCATAGCGGGGAGCTGGATTAGAAGTGGAGCAGCTGGGACTAGAACCCGGTGCCCATATGGAATGCCAGTGCTGCAGGTGGAGGCTTTACCCACTATGCTACAGCGCCGGCCTCTGCATTCTTTTTAAACATTATTTATTTATTTTACTGAAAGCCACAGAGACAGAGACAGAGACAGAGAGATCTCCCATCCATGGGTTCACTTCCCAAATGACTGTAACAGCCAGGGCTGCCCCATGCCAAAGCCAAGAACCA